CGGGGTCTCAGTGGAATGTGGGGGTGACTGAAAATACAGGATGTGAGCAGCAGAGGTGGCCAGCAAATGATTGAAACTACCAACTCACCCACTGTGACACTCCAACATTTCATCTTAAAATAATGTATAATAATAATACTCAATGAACATACATTGTAAAATAAAAAAATACCAGCTTGGCATTTTGTTTTGTTTTTTCAAAGACAAAAACAACAGCTGTAAGCACCTTACAGAATATGGAAAGAAAGGAAACAGCTGTGGTTTCTGTGCTGAAAGTAAACAGGCTGAACTTCTGGAAAATATACATAAAGTGTCCAATTAGCATTTCCATTTGTTGAAAAGGTGCAGATGCTAGTTACAAAGTAATCCTATGATTTCTTATATTGGTTGAGCAGAAAGACAGGGACATCATTAGGAGGAAGGTTGAAATGAAAGTGGATCAGAGAAAGCTGTGGTGAAGAATGTAGAGGTCATAATATACATTTCCTAACAGTTTATTTAAGCAAAGCTTTGCCATAGCTACACCATAGTCACCTCATGACTGTGGCATTTACTTTGTCTTAAATCTGTTCTTTAGTTAACAAATAAGCTGAGCTCAACTGACTCAGCATTTGCTGCAAATTCTTTCACCTTCAAACAGTATTTATATTCAGGCAAACAAATTTTTCACAGAATCACACAGGCTGGGAATAATAAACAACCTGTTTGGCAGACAGGTTGTATTTAGATTACAGTATAAAATTGTCAAAGGAAATTTGTCTGGATAGACAGAGAGCTCTTTGTGGAATTTGCAATCCATCTTTAATAGATTTATTGCCTACTGTGTCTTTAAATTTTACAACCTTCTGCAAGCAGTTTAGTCGAGTCTGCCAGGACTTCCTCTGTATGTTAAGGTACGGCTTCGTGTGTTTGATAAAATGGGTCAGTTTTAATACTGTGTTTACTACAGGCAGAGATTAAGCTGTGGAGGAGTTAGGAATGCACTGCGCAGACAGCGTGAGGAAGAGGAGTTTGTTGATACCAAGGTTAGAACTTAATTTCATCTGTGGACCTATATCAGATGACTGTCACAACAAACAGCAGATGGAAGTGGACAATAGGGCAGTAATGGGCGTGCCTTAAATGTCAACAAATGCAATCAGTGAGACAAAGTCAATAGTAATAAAAAAAAAAAATTTGAGATTTTTATTTCAGAGCTCAGCTGCAATGTTCTATCGTGCTGGCAAATCTGGAAACAGGGCTGCAAATTAACCGATGGACTAAACAAAGATAAAGTTCTGCAACTGAATAAGTTGGAGACCTCTGAACCCACACTAGGGCTGCACAACAAGAAACTCCAAGTTTATTATTCCATGGACTCGTAACACTTTGAAGTGCAATGATTGTTGGATGATCTAGTCAGTCATTTGCAATATTAATAACTCACAATGATACTGCAGTGGTGATATACTGTGCAGCCCTAACCGACACAAACAAAGTAGAACCACCTTAACAATATATGAGGATTATCCATTGCATAACTTTTTTGGAGAAACTCTGATCAACCCCCTTTGCACTTCCTTTTGGACTCTAGGCCATTTATAAACAGCTCTCTTAAAGTTTCAAAATAGTTCTTCAACAGTGTCAACTATGGTATATACAGGTCATATCACCTTTTCTGACCTTAGTTTTGGCTTTTTCGTATCCAACTTTAGAGACATCAAAATTGAGCCGTCTGCTATCAGCCGTTTCTTACCTGCTTTTAAAATAAATTACTTAAATTATACCCAAGATGTGAGCTTCCTGCTCTTTCAGCCTTTAGTGATAAATTGTGAAAATGTGGATAAGAGCAAATTAAAACTCAACTCATAATCAAGCTGAGAGTAGAGATGTGTTTTCATGCAGTCAGCCACAGAGACGTTGCTGAAACAGGGCTATAGGTGAACCAAGAATCACAAGCTAAAAATCCAACCACAGCATTTCAGCAAGGCTACGGTCACATCTGACTTAATATTTTGGTGAAGGTTAAGATTAAACTTAATACTAACCAAGAGAAGCAAGATTTGCTTTAGCTGCTAGCTCTTAATGTTCTATTTTTGGTGTTGGAAACAATGCAGGCTTCCAAAGAAACTGAAAAACTGAATTTGTTTCAGAAATAAACTTTAAAATGCCTGTGACATCGAATCTTCATGATAAACTCAATTAAATTTATGAAAAGGAAACATTCATAAAATATTTTTTAAAAGCAAATTTGTGCTACTAAAATGAGCAGTTGTCAAGAAATATGGTAATAAATTTCACTAAAGAGGCATTTCCAGACTCCTTGGCGATTTTCTTGTGCTCCTTTATGACGTCAACGTCTTAAATTTCAATTCACAGCTGGCTGTGCTCGATGGGACCAGCCCATCTGTCCCTGAAGTAGTGCAGACTGACGGCTGCTGTTGTAGTATTGCTGCCACCGCCATCAACGCACCGCTTCACCCTATTAACGCGGTTTTTAATGCAACTTGGCTTCTACCTGTACAGTTTATCATTGACGCTCACACAATGAAGGACCAGAAACTCCCCCTTTGACGTCATTTCCAGGCGACTTTGGACTTGCAGAATTTAACATTGAAATATGCTTATTTTGGGTCACAACTGTCTTTTGTGTCTTTAATCCTAATATTATTATTTAGTGTCAATTACTGCCCAATTCCTTCAATATGTGGTTTTCTTTCAATTTCTGCATTTGTGGGAAAAGCGTGTCAGAGGCACTTTAAATCTACATACCGACAACTGGGTGTGGTTACTCATTAGCCCACAAAGGATGACAGTTTTATCACCAGTAAAGTTTTCCAAATTGAAACAACTTGTCCTCAAACAGACACTTCTATAATGATCACACATCTGCCATCCAGAACTAACTGGCTTTAATTAGTGCTGTAGATGTTTTTTTTGAGGATTGAAGTTATTGCAGCAACTGCTTGAAGAAGACGGCTGCAAGTGTTCAGCATCAGTAGTATCAAGTGCACATCTGACCCACCAACATTCCAGCTCTGCCTCTCTCCTCGGGAATGCTAAAGCAGTGACATCTGGCTCACGCATGTGTGCAGTGAAATTAATCATGGAGGTCAGACGGAGACCTACAAATATGAGTGCTGTGTTTGTGGATGACGAGCAGTATGCTGAGGAGCCTATGAATGAGATGATGTATTGGATGAAAGAACAACTGCCATGGAAATGTAATTTAAAGACAAAAACAGAACAGGGGAGTTTAGTGGCCTTCCACTTCCTTCATTCTTTCAATTCCACTAGCATAGATGGCTGATCTTTACACCCTTACACAACCACACCTTCAGGCACTACAACCAACTAGTCTGATGAAGATGAACATGCTCACAACATTTAAAGTTACAAGATGATATGGATGCAGTATGAGAAAGTCAAAAACAACACTTTCATCTGCTGTAAATTCAGTCCAACTGTAAATTCCAGTAAAAGGGTTTCATTTTGAGTGTTATGTGCTTAAAAAAGCCAACAGGAAGCGGGTGGTGAAGTTATGCGCTGGAATAAGACCAAAACAACATTTGAGTGTGCTCCAGAAAGGAATGGGTTTCCCCATCCCTGTAGACAAACCTCAACAACACAGGATGCAGAAAAAGGCTTGTTTCCATCCTTCAGAATCTCAGAGCCAGCTTTCAGGGAAGACTCTTAACGCAAATTCATGCTGGCTCGAGTAACCAGTCAGTAAACCAAGTCCAAGAAATGAGAAGCTGTGCGTAGATTCCTCCCTCTCAGACACACCATACAAGGAAGTGGTGTCGGTTCTGTTGTATCATTGCGAGTGTTTAGTTCACACACAAAGATGGAAGGAGAGGAAACGCAAACCACTGTTGGAACGAACCAACCATCACATTCGTGTCAAAAGCATCCTGACAGGAGAAGAAGAGCACATCTGAGCTGTGGGCTTTGTGGATACACAGTTCAAAAGTACCTTTCTAAATACTGTAGTATATTAAGAGTTTTGGGACATCTCCTTAAAGCCAAGAAGTACTTTTAGTAGATAACAAAAACAGGATGCATTTTTTGTTTTAAACTGATGTATCACACAAACCTAAAACATGCACATTGCATTATTTGGGATATGCTCCTGCATCATTACATAAACAGTCAGATTAGTAACCCTAACTAACCCTAACCCTGGGAAGTGGAAAAAAAGATACATTAGTTTCAAACCTTTTTACAAAAAGGAAAAAAATAAAAAATAATCAAACCTGAAAACTGCATTTATCTTAATCCCACTCGCCTCTGATATCCCAAAAAAAAAAAAAAAAAATCCAGAGCCTTCAGAAGTCACTTAATAAAGTTCACCTGACTAAATCCCGCTGTTCTGTGAAGGCCTCAGAGTTCTTTTTAGAGAATAAACATAATCATCAAGACCAAGGAGCACAGCAGACAGGTCAAGGAGAAGTGTATCACTCTGGAAGAGGTGCAATGACCCACAGCTCAGGTAGGAAAATCTGTTGAAAACTATTAAGTCGGAAAACCAAATCTGGCCCTTATGGAAAAGTGGCATGAAGAACACCACAAACCATGTAGAGGACACAGCAAACATGTGGAAGAAGGAGCTCTAGTCACATGCCATGCTATGTGGCAGAAAACTAAGGCACTGTGCACGTGACAATGCTTTGTGGTGAAACGGGACAATTTAACGCGTTCCAGTGTAAGGAAAAACAGAATCTCGCTGTATGGGGGAAGTAACAACCATGGCGGATTGCAGAGAGCTTACATGTGCTGCTGACTCCTTTGAATACAACAGTTCTCCAACAAAGTGCGCATTTTTTAACCTGCTTTTTTTTTTTTTTAACAGGAAGTGTTTTTACATGTTGAGTTTCAAAGAACATACCGCCAACTAGTGGTGTGGTAGGGGAATTTCACCGTTTTTTTTTTAAAGAATTTTTTCAGCAGTAGAGGCCTTTATTTTTGACAGTAGGCAGACAGGAAGGAGGGGCAAAGAGAGGGGGAGACATTCGGCAAAGGTCGCCAGGCCCGGGACTCGAACCCGCGACGGCTGCCTCGAGGACTATAGCCTCTGTATGTGGTCGTGCGCTTAACCCCTAAACCACCAGCAACGCGCCGGAATCACATGGAGCTCGCAGTAAAACACTGTCTGTAGATGACAATCCCGTTTTCAAATCAATCATCGCCGTGTGCACAGGCCCTAAACTTGACTAAAGTAGGTGTTCACCTTCCAGACAGACATGCATGCATGCCACACGGATACATTTTAATAAATGTTCACACCTGTAACAATACTGCACTGTGTGTTGGTTATAAGATTCAACTAAAAATATAATTTTGTTGTTGTAGCATGTTAAAATCTAAAAGTGGATTAGAAAACGTGGAAAAGTTCAAGGGGCACGAATACTTGTACAAAGACGTTAAAAAGGTTCTGCCCCATTTGTCTCAATTGTTCCACAGCCAGGTGTACAAGCTGCTAAAGACAAGCTTGGTGTGAAGATTATTCTAATCAAATCTATACAAGACAACTATGTGTTGAGTGAATGTAAGCCTCTCATTAAGGCCATCAAGAGCAGGTGGTTGTGTGAAGCTATGAGTTAAACAGACTAAGCCCGCATGCTGTCAAAACAGCATGTAACCCAGGCTACTGACAGTGCAAAGGCCTCAAAAGGCAACAGAGAAATGGGTTGCAATCTGTTCTAAACCTGGCAATGCTTTCAAGAATCAAACACAATGCTGGCAGCATCGCAGGCTGACAGCCGACTTAAGGAGTGAACATCAGCAATTGCATTTTTAGATCACCTTTAAAAAAACAAAAATCCATAAAAACGTTATTCTAATTATTAGCATGCAAAAATATTGTACATAAATTAAGTATCAGAAAGGGGTAGTCCAGCAGCTCTATTGTCTGGCTTTGTGCTATAGATCCACCCTCACGCATAGGTCTGAGAGGTGTGGGGGTGGGTGATGAGTGGATTAACTGGTACAAAAAGAATGAAGGAGCAGCTGGCACAAAAAACCTACACCCAAAAATCCTGGACTGGCAATTTCTTTTTTATAACATTGGGTCTTATTTCCCTGTATTAAAAGAAGGACAGTGCCTGCTCACTCTCCTGTGCAATAGCCACTTCACAATAAACAAACTGGTAGTAAGTCAATCCAATACCGGATAGCCTCTGGGCCAGATCAGTTACCAACCCACTGACTGGGCAGGGTGAGGAGAGGCCAGATGGGCAGCGATTCCACACCTTGCCTGCATGCACAGCCACGCCCGAATAAATCACTTAGAAAAACAGTACCAGAAGAAGCAGGAAAAAGGCAACATGTCTTTGAAACGATGAGTTTCCAGAGAACTAAAATTAAACAGATGGGCTTTTAATGGGTTAAATTACCCTTTAAATGATTACAGTGTACTGATTCCAGTTTCAGTCTCAGACAGACTGGGTCCCTAAAACTGCAGTGCTAGCAGCCATCACTTTACTCTAATAGCAAGTGCTCGTCTGTAAACCACAGCGATGGGAGTTGCAGCAGCGTGTCATTCCTCCATTCCACAGCTGAAAAAACAAAGCCTGAGCTAACTTTCAAAAGGTGAGCAACGATGCATTTTTACCCCTAAATGTGTTCTAGAAAGATTCAGTAAGGCAGGTGAGAGTTTCTTTTCAGTTTCCACAGGTGGGGGACTGGAACTGACAAAGTAAAGGGTGTTGCCAGCAAACATCCAAACATATGCAAATGCTTTCTAGTGTGCAAGAACAATAGTACTCTCCATGCAGGTGCTTTGATATTTTTTTAACTGATCATCACAAGTGAAAAGGAGATTAAGGGCTCCAAGAAATTTGAGTTTTGTCTTATTTCAGCATTTAAAACATGCAAACAAAAATATACACTACAATTAATACAGTTATATTCCCTATGATTCCTTTTGAGAAATTCACCAAAAGGTTCCAATCGGACTTTATTTGGACAGAGCATTCTGATATTGAAAATGGATTAATGAAACCTACTAGCAAGTTTCTGTGTCTCTCACTGAGACAAACTGGCATATGTGAAACATGCTGGTCTTGCATAACTTGTGCCTCACACCCATTGTGCAAAAGCACCCAACAAGGCAGTTACCAAGAATTCCCCTTCCTAGTGTTGTCATGGAGAGAATATCCAATTGATTAGCATCAGTAGAAAACGGTACATTGCGTGTGCAAAAAGATGCAACGTACTGTAGTAAGCAAACAATTAACATTCAAGGACATCTGTGCTATAAGCACTTAACCAGAGACCTGGCATTTTGGATACTTTGTGCAAATATAATGGCAGCACTAACACTCAATGTTAAAATATATTTACTGTTAAAAAAAAAAAAAAGGGCGATGCACTGTGAAACTGGCTGGTGAATGGAATTCCCAAGATTTTCAGCATGATGAACTCCAAACAGTGACAGGCCAGTAAGAAGCTAAAAAATCCTTACTGTGCTACCATGACCAAGCACCGCCAGGTCATAGTAACAACACTCTTGGATGTGGAAGGTGTTAGTGAGGGAGGAAGACCCAACGTTAGTCCCTTTCTGCGTCAGTGAGACATTTAGAAATGTCAGAAGACCTACAAAGTTGTGATAAACCTAAACTTAAAAGAAAATTGTCTTTTCTATGAGTTCAGACTTGTCTGTGGTGCATTCGGGCTTGGAGAGAGCAAGATTTTCAGGAGATAAGAGGAAGGCTGAAAGAAAGCTAAAATGAGTACGTGAATGTTGTCATTTTTATTATTTGAGCTTTTGTCTGTCAATACAGGACGATTTTGGAAATGCTGTCAGCCTTTTATATTTAAATCGGGAAAGATCTGTATTCTGCAGAGCCCTGAAAGGACACTGAGGGAGAAAGGAAAAAAATAAAAACTTCTCTTGTGCACCAGATACTTTCACGTGTACCTTTTGCCGGAATAGATCTCGGGACTTCTAGGTAAGGGTTGAAATGTAGCAGAAATAGATCAGGTATTTACACAGTAGCCCGAAATACACAATGAATTGAAGAAATTATCTGGTGTGCATAAGAAGTTTTTTATTTCTCCTTCATATACCATAAGAGGCTCCACAGTATTCTTCAGGGAATGCACAATAAGCTGGTCTTTTAAGCAATGCTAGCCATGCTAATTCCTAATATAAAGCCTAGCACACACTGCAGTTTTCTAAAAAAAAATAAATCATGTGGTGTATGTCACTCTATGCTAGCTAGGAACACATAAAATCTTAATGATGGCCAATGTCATGTTGTACAATGGAAGATGTCACTGCATGACTTGTTGCTACAAAAAATAAAATCACCTGATACAGACCCGACTAAGACAATGAGACCAACTAGAAATGGACCTGAAGTTTTGGGCACCAATGCACTCATTAGTACTGGGCACTGAAGAGGAGGAGAGGAAGAGTAGGGACTGGAGGCAGTGGTAGGACAGCTCATGGCTAGGACAAATAGGACAAGAACTGGAAGTTGTTTGCAGCAGCAGTTACACTAACTGTTGAAATTTGTCACAGACCAGGATAATCATGCACTTTTAACATAGAATTAGACGCTAAAGACTGTGATCCTTTTTGTTTTAAAATATTAGTAAAATACGCTCAAGTCCAAGTCATCACACACAGTGTGACATCGTTTCTGCTGGAATATAAATAATAACCGATCATGGCAGGAAGGCTACAAAAAATGTTCTATAAGAAATTCAATTTGGCCAAGGAATACCACCATTAATTCAAAACCTTTAAAAAAAGTTAATGTTATTATGTTAGTGCTGCACAAGTGTTTCCAATGTGGCAACTGCAAAGGTCTACTTGGATGCAGTATTTGGTCGAATGCTTTATTTCAAGTGTCTTGCATTCACACTATGCCCATCAATAACACATATTACCAGTTTGATGGACTCCAACTGTCCTTCAGACCCAAACCTGATGTATATTTTTTTTAATGGCTGAGATAGTAAAACCTACAGACACTGTTGGGGGCATTGAAAAATAATTAAGAAAGAGCAGCATGGGGTCATTGTAACGGATATCGTCATCACAATTCCACATTCTCCTGACATACAGTCCTACATTAAGGCCAAAAATTATGTTTACCTGCAATTAACTCGGAATTCAAAATAAATGAACACATACCTTCTATCAAATCCTTTAGGAGGTACATAATTTACAGATAGTCCTTAATTTCAAAAAGTGCTACATTAAAAAAGTCAAAGCAATGACTTAATTATCACCTTTTATTTTTCATTTCCTGCTAGTAAACAAATTTTTTGAGAATTGTAAAGTTCAGAGGATGTACTGAGATGAAAAGATCTATTTTAGCCGTCCTGCTTTGCTGTGGCATCAGGAAGAGGAAAATGGAAAGAGGCGCAGAGAGGGAAAGTTGTGATGCAGTAATATAACTCACAGCTGGTCCTGATTAGATATTCAAAATAAAACCCTTCACATTCTGAAGTCTGTTCAGTGCGTTAGAATCTACACACTTCTTACTTTAAACAGTGATACAAGTTATTTATATTGGTTTAATGTGTGGCTTGAGAGTGTGATATCCCTAAGCACTTCACATCCAGGAAGGGCCTTCACTTTTAAATAGTACACAGTACAAGTGAGACTGCAATATGCCTTTGGAGGTTGGCCAAGCAATCAGAATAAGCACAAAGAGGATCCAGTTCACACCCTGGTGATGAGCAGGATTTTAGGTTAAGAAAAAAAATCCAATGCCCCGTTGAGGGTCCTCCTGTCAAATACTTCTCTAAAGCCCTGGGAGAACTGCTGCTCTTCACATTTAAACCCTGCCAACCACACCCAACCATGTCCAAAACACAGGGATTATGTAATGCAGACTGTGAGCCAAACCAGTATGATAAGCAGCATCTCTCCATCACTGAGATTTGCACTCCGATAGACAGTCTCTGACCTGTAGTGAACGATGAGATCACTTGATCAGCAGGGGTGAAAATATGAAAACAGAGATTTGATCTTAGAGGTAAATCACAAGGAAGGTGCATTTCTCCTGTACAGCTTTGCTAGCGGGTGAGCAATATAGGGCATTTATTTCCTAATTAAGGAAAAACTATTTAAAAATTAAAGTATTTTTAAAAGCAG